GTTCTGGAATCCATTCCCATGCCCTGACAGCAATTTGCCTCGGCATTCCCACGCCCACTTCAGCTCCCTGCCTAGCGGCTTTCCAAGGTGAGTTTTTGTTCAGTCACACTTCTTACGTTCTTGACTAGGGGCTGAACAGCTCCGAAGTGGGAATCGGCCGAGGGGATTGCAGCCGTTTCCGACCACGCCCACCCTGCTGGGACTGTTGCTTTAACCATACTTCACGTCTCTGCACATTATTTGTTATTCAATCATAACAAAGGCACTGCTCGCGTTCCTTGAGGAAATTCAATTTCTGAGTGAGGTAGTAGAACCGAGAGGGCGGTACGGTCGCGATCTAACAGTGCACGTCACGGAGACTGGGACCTTTGCTTGAACGCTGCGACCGCTGTCATTCTTATCAATTAAAGCATTCGTTACGCCCTGCCCTCTCGCGTAGGCGCCTTCTCTCGTGTGTGCCCACTCCTCGCGTCTCTCCATCGTATCACGGTCCACCTCACAGACAGAATCTCAGTACTTTCCATTCTTTTGCTTTTTCCCAGTAACGTTTTAGTTTCTAATTGATTCCCAAACAAAATAACGCACGACTCAACGGCGACTGATGCGTTTATGAAAAAAACGAAGCATTGATCTAGAAATAGACGGTCCTGTAAAACTTATGAGACCTTAGAAAGGATATGGCATGCGCAAAAGCGATCAAAGACATTGTAGAGATAGGAAGAAGATTTTTGGTTTTTTTTCCTTGTTTTCATAACAGATAGTTTAGGACTGAAATACAAATTATCCCTCAAATTTGGTAGATGTAAAATAAAAGCTTCGTGAAGGGAAAGCGTGAGAAATTCGTATGTGAAATAACAGAACCTCTGCATTTGATCAGTTCGCAGATCAATATGTCGATTAGATAACCGGGTCTTTTCACTGGCTTTTGCATCTGGCAGCATTGGCAAATGCGGCGACGCACAGTTCAACACCGTCAAGCTCGAGACATTAATCTGAAAGATTCTTCAGAAAATGTGTAGGATTACGTATTTCAAAAGATTTTGAGACAAAGTATAGCCATGATATGCTACCTCTATTTCACCTGTCTTCATTTTCAAGTTAGCATTCTCCCCTCGATTCACAACTGATCCTTCGACTTTAACAACAGACTCGTAAGGCAGATCTTTGACGATTTTGCTTAGCTCTGGTTTTGAATCTACTACAGCCTGGAAATCGATTATTAATTCAGCATACTGTATTACAGCTAATACATAATTAATTAATATTTGTAAATTACAGGTAAGCTGACAAAAGAAACGGCTCGCCTTAATCTTCAAAATTAAAAAAAATGTCCTTGACTTTCTTTAAACACACCTGCACAGTTCCATAGGAGTCCCGTAGAACTAGAAAACGATCCAATCTTTTGTAGACAAGCCAACCCATCACGCACACTCGTGCCCCTTGAAAACGTTTGATAATGGAGTTGCATTACGTAGCTCAAAAATCAATGTACTGTTATTGCTGTTGTGGTACTTGTGGCAGCTGCTGCTGCATTTTTTATAATTTTAATTCCCGCTGAAGCAATCGGAATACGAAAGAAACGTAGGAAAAAGACCCTAAGGCCTGCATATTTCGTGAACTTGAAAAACTGAAATATGAATTGTTTCAGCTCAATCAACTCATTTTAGTTCATAAATCATATTATTTTGCCCACGATGGACGTCCTCTGCCAAAATTTTGACAATGTCGACACCGATTTCTCAGTTTATCTAACAAGGAGGTCTTTCAGGACATGGAGCGCTTTTTCGAAATGGTTTTCTGCATGTTGTAGGGGCTCATGCGAGGAACACAGAACCATGATCCATTTTTCCTGAACGCCTCCAGGAATGTCAAAAAGTTGTGTGAAGAAACGGTCCAGAGTTCGATCCCCGGTGATGACTATTTTTTGCAACATGTATGGCGCTCAAATTTCGCAATAGGCGCGGCTCGACGAAGATTAGATGTCGATTGTCGGGTTTTGCGGCAATTTGGAGGCCCCAACATAAATTGCAAAAAAATTGTCTTCACGGAGGATCAAACTCAGGACCATTTCTTCACTTCTGTTTTGACATTCCTGGAGGCGTTCAGGAAAAATGGACGATGGTTCTGTGTTCCACACATGAGCCCTTACAGAACAGGAAACGTTTTGAAAACTGCGCCATGGTTCCTGAAAGCCCCCCCACGCTACGCGTGTAAGAATGGATTCATTAAAGACAAAATGGAATTCCGTGATTGACAGGATGTTTATTCAAGGGGAAAACGGTTGTTAGTAATGCATTACGTAAATGCAGAAGGTTAGAAAAGTGCTATCTACCTTAAAAATCACAACAGGCGTGCGAATAGAATGGGGATGGATGGCATGTGGGAGCCTCGCCCCATGCGACGGTGTATTAAGGACCATCTTCCTTTATGCAGCTCTACAGTATTCCACCGTAACAAGAGAAAAAATGAACTGACAATGGAGCAGCCGGTGTGACGGGACGCAAAGCCCTCATGGTCAATACGATCTATGCGTTCACGTTCGCATAAAAGTTCTTTAGTTCTCATTCATTAACGACGGCACCATTACCCACGACTTATCGCAAAACAGGTCCTTGTCCCCTATTTTTCAATCTAACCAAAGCCTAAATGACAGGAACAACTGTTCCAGGTTGGGTAGAGAACTTTAGTAAAAAAAATTCTTCATTTTGATACCTTCATCCTTTGCAGTCAGCTCTCCACAATTGTGTGTTCTAGTGGTGTACGCGTTGACAGAATATCGTCCTCCAAGGATGAGAACAGACGTTTTATCATTCCCTGAAAACTCATTAAGGCACAATTAATATTCATACATGATCATATCGGGGGATCAGAGGTCTTTTATCCATACTAGTAACATTTAGAGCACATCAACAGAGGAATTATTAGCATTTATTTAGCAACGCCACAAAAGAAACCCGAAAGCAACAGCATAGCAATGGTACTCGTAAACACCGAATCTCTCGAGGAGGCTATATCTGATTGCGCTAACGTACAATTTCTAAGAAAACAGTGATAGTGAAATAGTTTCAAATTGAGAACTATAAGATGAACAACATCGCGGATCACAGTAAAGATGATATTAATCTGGAATATTAAAATCGCTTGAAAATAATCGGCAATAATCGACTCTGTTGGCTATACGAAGAGCAAACAATTTACCTTTGAGGAAAATAATTTCAATTCATAACAACCACGTAAATCACAGTGTACTACCCTTGTTATGTAGTCAGGATTGGCCATCACAGTCGTGCAAATTTGTGCCAGGAGAGAAAATGGCAGTAAGGAAAGGCAACAGCAATCACTTTGCTTATGCCACACGTCAATAAACCTAATGTCGCGTAATGTGATGGGGTAGATCAAGTTCTGGACGTAAAATATCCCAAATATTCTGACGAGTAGAAGAAAGTTCTCAATTACGGTTGCCACCTCCGCCAAAATGTGGAGCCAACCACAATCGTCGAAAAACTCAGACAAACAGCTCAAGATACACTGTGTGCAACAGACGGAGACGAGAAAGCATGGCGTGGATAGAGATGGCAGATGTTGTAACAGTGGGCGGTCGCCTCAGGTGTTTATAGCTGCCAGTTCTAAGCCCCTAACGCCTTTTCTAAGGTTCCAAATTGCAAAAATGGCCCTATTTCTGCAGCTGCAACCCGGTGATCCCTGATTCACAGGGACGACTGCGCAATGAGTGTTAAAATCGCGAAGGGTAGCTCAATCTTGCTAGATTAAATGGGTGGACTTTAAAGCCTGCCATTAAGCCACCTTTCGGTCAGTCAGATCTTCAAAGCAAACGTAATAATAATGCTTTTGATAACCGGCTTACCAGTGATTGCTTGATAGATCACTGAGAATATTTGAAAAGAAAGTAAATACTGACGAAAAAACAAAACCATTTTCAATTTAATGCCGCAGCAATCGGAGATGCCAAAAAAATGCGAGCAAGTCGACTTTTGGTCGCTCTCCGTCCTAACATGAAAGCACAGTAATTTCTGATTTACATTAGTGAACATAAAATATCAACTGTAGAGCCGGTAAAATAGAAAAAATGTTGCCGAAGAGAGTGACAGAAAAATAAAAAGTGTGGACAATTGAATACTGTTATATTTTCTGATATGGTATCCAACCGGTAACATACCACACGACTGTAGCAACCAGACCTTGAATACAGTTTTAGACACGTTATTGCACATACGAGGCATTCTTGGGAAGAAAGTTTACTTGACCCTGTCCAACAAACTTATAGCTGAATCCAAGCGGTGGCGTTGTTAGAAGCTCAAACCCAAAGTATTCTACATCAGCTATTTCGAAATTCGTCAATGAAGGCGGATGAGAAAATAGCTCCATCGGTACGTCACCAGGAATCAGCGTAGATGAAGAGACAACTGCAAAAATGGGTTACAGTCGTCAGAAATGGTAGTTCAAACCAAACTAGAATCAAGAATTTTTCCTTCCACATTTTTGGCATTAGTAAGAGCACGCGGGAAAATGAACCTTTTTTCAAGGGAGAGGGGGATAAAAAAAGTTGTTGCGCTCGTGGCAAACATCAGCAAACTAAAAAGTAGAAGCAGGTCCTTCTTCGTTACTCTCATAATCTTGAGAATTTCACTTCATCTGCCATCGCCATAGGGCTCAAGGGCCCTGCAATTGCTTCATTCCGAAGCTTCTAAATAGTCCTTCAAATTGGTTAACCGATGTATAGCTTACTAGAGACGTAGCTCCAACTATGAAAGACTTCTTCCGCCCAGCTTTTCAGACATATCGTCATGACCAACGATCCGTTGAAGACCTCGTTTAGCTGAACCGTGCACTGTGTTCGCAGAATTCTTCTGATGTCATCGGTGTAGGAGGCTATTGCGAAACTCTTTGATTGAATGGTAGGTACTTTTCAATTTTCAGTTGGGACCATTCGGTTCGAATTCAGCGAAGTGTTAATAACTCCGCTCTTTATGTGGGGAAAGAATGATGCGTCATGACGTACATCCCGCGTATGGGCGGGATTACAATATGCAACCGTTTTCAAAGAGTATTTGCGCAGCCTTGGTGAGGTAGTGAGGATTTGGCCTCATATCCTCCCAACGCTCCTTCAACAAGCAGAAGGAACGCCTACAACCTCGATAGAGCTCTTGTGTCCAGGATAACCCCTTTGTCAGTTTCGATGCATGAGGTAGACTCAGTAAGTGCTTTCGCCACCGAGCAGAAAATAACAGCGTTAAAAGCGGAAAGCGGTTGAAGCTTGACATTACCTTAATAGCGGAATTCGTGATTCAAGAAGCAAAAAAAGCGCAAAGAAAAGCGAAAGCGAAAACGAAAAGAAAAAAGCAAAGTGAATTTTTCAAAAACTCACCTGGGGCCACATTACGATAACTGTCTTCCACTTTTGGCGCTTCGTGCTCCCAACATAATGGACCAAGTTCGTACTTAGCCTGAAAAAGTGAACTCATTGATGATTTTCGAATATCAAGCACAAAGGACCCTCGCCGCTCTGTATTTATCCCCTCCCATCTCTTTCCGTGCTGTTTTTGGAAGTGGGAGGGGGAGGGGAAGTGGGTGGAGCTAGAGTGTGTCGAAAGGCCTTACGGTTAGAATTAGACGCAGCGTTGGTGATGGGGGTTGCGGTCGGCGCTGGTGTTGGTGGTGGGGAGTCGTACGGGAACCCCCTCTCCTCTTAAGGCTGATGGTGGTGACGGTAATCGCGTCAAGAATCTCTCAGAGAGGATCGTGAAAATTCTTGGAATGGTCACAGCGGACGGTTAACCCTGGGTAGGAGGATTGGCCTCACATCCCCAACACCCTTCGGTCAGAAGCCCTGCGCCTTTATACAGTCCAAATGCGTCTTTAATAACTATTTGCTATGAAAATAATACTGAGTTACTGACCTCGAGATTTTTATGAATGTGAGTCCTATAAATAGAGTTCATCCAATGTCGGAACACAACGCTTTCACCCACTTCTTCTGTACGAAGACAGCAACCCTGAATGATATACGAAATGTTTGTCATAATATCGGCATTCCACAATTAAACACTTGCAAAATCACAACTTTAGAAAGTTGCGTGGCCTTGTGGCCTAATGGATAAGGCGTCGGACTTCGGATCCGAAGATTGCAGGTTCGAGTCCTGCCAGGGTCGAGATGTTTTGCTCAGCCCTGAACACTGTCCTCGTCCGAAGGCAAGGCCATCCGATGAGGTTTCAACCTGAATATCACCAATAAGAAGTAGCTGAACAGTTGTCGTTGAAAGTTGCGTGGCCTTGTGGCCTAATGGATAAGGCGTCGGACTTCGGATCCGAAGATTGCAGGTTCGAGTCCTGCCAGGGTCGAGATGTTTTGCTCAGCCCTGAACACTGTCCTCGTCCGAAGGCAAGGCCATCCGATGAGGTTTCAACCTGAATATCACCAATAAGAAGTAGCTGAACAGTTGTCGTTGGAAAGTTGCGTGGCCTTGTGGCCTAATGGATAAGGCGTCGGACTTCGGATCCGAAGATTGCAGGTTCGAGTCCTGCCAGGGTCGAGATGTTTTGCTCAGCCCTGAACACTGTCCTCGTCCGAAGGCAAGGCCATCCGATGAGGTTTGAAGAGAATATCACCAATAAGAAGTAGCTGAACAGTTGTCGTTGGAAAGTTGCGTGGCCTTGTGGCCTAATGGATAAGGCGTCGGACTTCGGATCCGAAGATTGCAGGTTCGAGTCCTGCCAGGGTCGAGATGTTTTGCTCAGCCCTGAACACTGTCCTCGTCCGAAGGCAAGGCCATCCGATGAGGTTTCAACCTGAATATCATCAAATAATGAGTATTGAA